ATGCAAGAGAAATGGATCAGATGAAATATGGCCACCAAAGTGTGTGTTACAAGCGAAACCTCTCGAGATTTAATAAATACGATCTGAGGAAAGGAATAAAATCCAGGGGGATAAAACACAGAAAGGTCTTTTTTGTCAGACATGACATGTGTCCCTCAGCTCTTGAGACGAGTATCAGAGACAAGAGGATGTGACATTTCCACTGAACAGACCTGTGTCTCTCTGTCTCTCCAGAATCTACCGATGAGGAGATGGATAAGCTCCATTGTCTGAACCACAGCGGCTCCTCGGCCACCTACTCCGACTACTCCCCCTCACAGGGCTCCTCGGGCTCCTCCAACCCTCCCGCCAACGCACACTCACACACACACTCTCACGCACACGCACACCCGCACCCGCACCCGCACCCTCACCCGCACAATCACCCTCACCCTCCCGCTCTGCCGGCCCCCAGCAAGGACCAGGCCCCTCAAACGCACTGGACCAACAGGTACACCCCCATCCCCACCCCCACCCACACACACACACAGCTTCATGTCCATTTTCATCACTGTCCCCTCTGACTATCTGTCATCTCCTCCTCTTTTTTCAATCTCACCATCCCTCCTCCATCTATCGTCCATTTCATCCAGTCGCTCCATCCATCCTCTCCTCCCATATTTCTGTGTCTCCATCATCTCTGCGCTCGCTCAGTCAAGGTCAGAGTGACTCATTAGGATTCTGCAGATTTCTGTCCGGGATTCTCCCTCTCAGCTCTCCTCCTCCTCCTCCTCATCACAGCCGTCCATTCCAGACTATAGTAATTGCACCCTGATGATTTGGTTTTTTGTTTTCTCCAAACAATACATTCTCATTTTGCCAGTCTCCATCCATCTGTCCAACCATTACCCTGCTTATCCTCTGAGGGTCATATGGGGGCTGGAACCAATCCCAGCTGACATTGGGCAAGAGACAGAGTGCACCCTGGACAGGTCGCCTGTGTATCGCAGGGCTATTGTAGAGAAACAATCAACCATTCACACTCATCTTCTCACCTACGGAAAATCTTTCTCAAAAATGTTCATTACTTCAAACATGGTTCTTGGCCTACTTCATGTTTTCCGAGAGAGGAAGAGAAAGTTATCCTGCTCCCCGTACTCATTGGCTCAGATTACATTTACAACACATTCAAATGTTGTGCGGGACTTCATTAAAATTCACTCTGTATTTATTATTTTCCATCTAATTAGTTCCTTCTTGTCCTTGCAGACTGGCTCAATCATTCCCCAAACCCATTGATTCCAAGCCCCTGCTATCTCAGAGAGAAACCCCTCCATCGGGAACCCTGCAGCAGCGTGGGGATCGACGCCCACTCAGCGAGCCCTTCGACTGGGCTGAGGCCCCTCACTACGACAACACAGGTTTTGATGCCGAGGAGTCTCCTATGGACCCTTCGTCGTCCGGTACAAGTCAGGGAAACCCTCCGCTGGGCTCCAAGCCCCGCAGCCAGTCGACACATGGACGCCGCCCACTCCTCAGGCAAGAACGAATTGTAGGAGTTCCTCTGGAGCTGGACACCCAGACGCTGCCCTACCACAGCAATCAACGTGCCCCCCCGGACAATGACCCACAATCCTCTGGACCTTCCCAGAATCCTTGGCAGAATTGGACTCGAACTCCGAGCCCGCTGGAGGACAGGACCGCTTTTCCGTCCAAACTGGACCTGACACCCACCTCCAGCCCAAACCCCGACCGCAAGGATAGGTATGTGTTCATGTGAAAGACCTCATGACCCCGGGGTCTGTAGCTTATTAGGTTTCAATCATTTGAACCATTTTCAATAGATAGAGGTTCCATCTTTTCAGAGATATGTTATAACTCAGTCACACTGTTAAATCCTCCTTGTCCCTCTAAGGCTGGACCAAGGAGGAGGGCCTTTGCCTGGCAGCTGGACGTACCACGACAATCAGGGTGAGCAGAACAGGAAGGATCAGCTCAGCGTCAGCGGGGGCAACAAGGTGACGGTGGTGATGAGCAAAAGCTCCGACCGGCTGTCCCCCATGATGAAAGAGACGAGGTCCAAGTTCAAGAAGTCACAGAGCATTGACGAGATTGATATTGGCTCTTATAAGGTCTACAGGTAGGGTTGATTTCTCGATTGCTTTTCTTCGCAATAAGATGATCAAATATTTTGTCAGGTGAAGGTTGCAGCTGCTGAAGAGGATTACTCTTCCCTGACTTTCTGCAGTATTCCCATGGACAGCTACAGTTCTTCCATAGAGCAGCAGACCAGTTTGGACCGTCAGGATCTATCCGGGTCTATGGAACAGACTAGCATGGCTCGATCACAATCTGCCCCCATGTTAGATGATGAGCTGGGCTTCCCCGGACATGGAGGCGGCAACCAGAACCAACTAGGACAAAACCAAAAACCTGCCATCCCACATAAAGCCTACCACTTCGACCAGAACTACAATCCCCAGGTTAGCAGCAGCAGCAGTTAATAACATAATAAACTTTAGACTAGACCCACTGTAGCTTGTTTCACTTTTTAATTTGCTGCCCTGTTTAAACATGACCCAATAACATAGTAACCTAACAAACAGTCTTCTTGTTAGTTAACATCAGTTGTTTTGAATCATGACAACTTTGCATTCACTGGTAACTTTTCTCACCAATCAGGTGACCATGGACCGTCGGGTCCCTCCTCCCTTCCCCAACACACCGGATTACGTCAACCACGCATCCAAGGCCTTGGAGTACATAAACCAACCAGGGAAGACGTTACCGAAGGAGTTGGTGAGCCCTCGGTATCGTGCGTATCCACCGCTGGAAATGTTTTCTTTCCCCCAATCACCAATCAGCCAGGATGGACCGCCCAGCCAGCAGCAGCAGCCAATCCCAACACAGCGCTCCAGGCCAGGGTTTCTAAGGAGAGCGGATTCGCTGGTGAGCTCCACAGAGCTCGCCTTGTTCCGCAGAGTCCATGAAGCCCAGCAGGAGGCGTTGCAGGAGGCTCAGTACAGACAGCAGGTAGGAGCTAGTGTGAGCTGGCTGCCAAATTATGCTTATTAGTTTGTATGTGTTACTCCTACTGTTAAAAATGGCCTTGGCCCCATGTTTATTAATGTGTTAGTGTAAATGAATGGTACTAACAAAAACATTTGAGATTGGTCCAATAGATCATCTCCTCTGGCAGCTCTGCTGCTGCAGTGGCTTTGATTTTATCATGTGGGGCAACTGTGACAGTGCATGAAATGTCCACCAACATTTTTTTTCCCTGATGAAAGGTTCAAATTCGTGATTCTTTGCAAAGAGTCTGGCAACATTACAGATGTCTGTTCTCTCCTCTCCTAAGGCGGACCCCCCTCACTACAGTCGGGCTCTTGCCTACTCCAGCCCCATGGAGCACTCCGCTCTCACCAACATGGCCGACAGCCAGAGCCAGATGCTGCACAACAAGAGAAACGGTCGCTATGACGACGACTATCCCACCTACCAGGAGCAGAAGAAGCCCATGATTGGTTACCCGACCAAGAGCCTGACTCAGCGACGCCCCCTCTCTGCAAGGAGCTACAGCACTGAGACCTACGGAGCATCTCAGGTAGATGGATTGAATTTAAATATTCAAGAAAGCAGTGTAGTTAAACTAAAAAAAAAAACTTGTGGGGGGGGTTAAATATTGTAGTACAAGGACTTAATTCTACATTATGCTTTTCCACCTATTAGGTCTTATCAGGTCTTTGTAGGTGCAGGCTAAGTTGTGCAGTGCAGGTGTTCTTTGCTTCTGTCATATCCCAGATCTGGAGGCAATCCCAAGTACATAAATAAACTCTTGGAGATGCAATGAGTTTGCCCCAAGTTAAACTTTCCCAAAATAGTCACAGTGAGTTGATTAGATGGGCAAAGCACTTCATCTGGAACCCTTCAGCATGAAGGAGCCGCGCACAAGAGGGAAGCTAAGAGCTGCGAAACTAACACTGAACACTTCTGACTTATTCTTGCGGTCTGTGCTTTTCCGCCTGGTATCGTCACGTTCCATTTATCCCTCACGACGCCTCCGGATGGTTCAAGTTGCCAAAATGTCACGTTACTGAATGTTACAGCAGTTGCAATGCTAGAAGTTTGGCTCAGGGATGATTATGTCAGTTGTATATTCCGTCAGTAAGCCCATCGTGTCCAAATGGTAACAACAAAAGTTGTTATGACAAACTGCCTTTCAAGACATGTTACATATGTTACTGTTCATTTAAAGAAGAAATATTTTTACTTTCCTCTTGTGTAGTTTATAGATTTGTTTGTGTGAATGTGAAAGTTCAGAAGAGTTGAAAAGGCCAAAGTCTGTATTAAAGGGAGCTTCTTCTGCACAGAAAACACTGATTCTAAAGCTCACAGAACACAGACACCTTGTCAGTCGTCTGAACGACTTCCACACCATCGTGACATCATATTTCACACACAAATGCACCCAATATAAAATACATGTGCAGTTTAAATAAAATAATAAATCTCTATCGAGTCAAAACAGTAACTTTTTTCCCCTCAGGCCCGTCCAGTGTCAGCTCGTCCCACCATGGCTGCCCTGCTGGAGAAGATGCCTCCTGACTACACCCTGGCAACCTGCCCAGAGAAACCACTTGATGACACCATCAAAGTAAGACCTGTGGTGCCACAGAAACCCGAAGACATCACCTCCAAGATGCCTGCAGACTGGAGGCAACAGCTACTCAGGCACATAGAGGCCAAACGATTGGACAGGGTCAGTGCACCGCACACTGAAAACGGAGATGCGCACACACACACACACACACACACACACACACAGCATTCAGAAGCCCTTCCTGTCTGTATCTGTGTAAGTCTGTGTTGTAAGGTTGATCAGACATGTGTCCGGCTGCATGTGTGTCCGCTCCACACTGTCGCTCTGTCAGCCTGAACTGCTGCTCTCTCACTACTGTGGATATGTGCTGAAAAAATCCACATGTCCCGAATTACAATGCAACAGTATATATATATATATGCATTGTGACAATAATTTGATATCGTGCAGTGAATTTGAGATACATATTAAAGATGAGAATATTTTGCAGGGCAGCGTATGCATCAACAAACAATAGTATCTTTATATGTTTTCGAATGATTTCTAATTCTTTTTAACTGATCTACAGTTCGGCAGGACTCCTCAGTTTGCCGAGTTGTGCAGTGTTTCTTTAAAATACTGAAATAAACCGTTCAGTTATTAGTTTCCCGTTGAGGATTGGGCTTATTGTGTATTTAAATACTCACATACACACTATTGTTGGAATGAACTGATCCACCAGTTGTTGCTTGTATGACATGATGTTCTGTGTGTATTGTATCGACCACTAGCTAACATTTCTCTGTGCTTTCAGCAACTCTGCACTCTTGTTGTTGTTGTTTTATCAATGTTACTACTGTTTGTTTGTTTGTGGAGCTTCACAGTGTGTTGTCGCCACGCTGCAGCCCGCTGTGTTGGCTCCGCCTCCCCTCCCCTCCCCTCACCCCCTGCCCCCCCACCACATTCACCCATGTCATGTGATGTCGTCTTCTCCAATCAGAGTGGTGTCCTAAAGCACAACACGCTCACGCTGGGCATGCTCTGTCAGGGTCACAGCCAGGGGCGCAGCAGCACTTTGAACTTTAACCTTTACAATAACACTAAGCATGAGCCCCCTGCTGGCCGCTGGCTGCCACTGCCTCCTCCTCCGTCTGCTAACGCCGTGAGTATCCCTCTGAGAACAATGAACCCCTGGTTCTTATTACTGCTCACATAGGTAATTATAGAGAATAGCTGCCACTGACACCTCCTCACCCAGCTACCACCAACTATTATTTAACTGTCTGCCATTACTGCTATTGTGACTCCGATAATTACAACTACCTTTTCTAACATCACAACCTGCACGTATCAGCGAGTCTGATACAACTTTGGTGTTTAAGTCTCATTAATCTTTCCCCACGTGATTTAAAGTCACTTATTATGTCAAATATTGACGCCGATATAGAACAGTCTAAATTCCATGGTTACCAAAACAACAGAGAAGGAAGCAAATTAATTCTGAATTATCTTCTGTCTTATCTCGTCTTGTTGTCTGCACCATGCAGCTGTCTTACTTTTTATTGTTAACTGTAAACTATTTTTTATTTCTCTGCTATTTGCATTTTGGGAAACCTTTTAAAATCTCTGAAAACTACTCAAACAGCATTTTACTGCAGGTAGTAGTTTTATGTGAAGTCAGAGTAGGAAAATTGTAGGTTAATAAACATCAGACATTTGATCATTCTTTTTCCCCCTCTCTCTATTCTGCTTGTTTGAAAGCTGTGAAGAATTGAATGAATATGTGACATCATGTTTGGTCACTTACAGTCAAATCAATTTACACAACATCCATGTTGTTCTGATGAAGATTATTTGAGTGTTCGATCATAAATAAATAATAGCTTTGATTTAAAAAAGGATATTTTAATTATTGATAATTAGGTCATGAATATTTTATGTTTTGGACTGAGAAATGCTCAGTCCCATGTTGACTGTTGGTAAAAAATCACACATTTATCTATTTAATTAACTAGACTGGCACTCAGTAGAGTTCATACCTCCACTGAGGCCCAACAGTCCCTTATGAAACCACATTTAATTCCACTGTAGAGCCGGATTGTTTTTGGAATCTGCACCAATTTACACACACTTCTAAAAATCAGTCTCCCAAGTTTACCTGGAAAAAAAAAAACATAATCCATGAATTATTTTCTGAGAAATCAAATATAATGAATTCTTCTGTGACCGAACCCTAATGTTGCAGATGTTCACTCAACCAGGCCTGAAACTTAAAGACGTGAATAAAATGACTAAAGTTAAATATTCATTTTCACAAATGGTCACTCTGTCTCTCTGCCTGTGTCTCTCTCTCTCTAACAGACACCCTCTCAGCAAGCCGCCATGCTGGATAATGACCAGGAGGGGGTGTCAGGGAGCAACCAGTGGGCTCCCTACTC